CGTTCCAATGAGTCTTCCTACCAATATGACCATGTTGCGAAAACAAGGTCAAACAACCTCTATACAACGATAGGGACTGCGACCACACAAAAGGCCACACCATCTTGGTCTTCATACCTTCGATTAAAGTGCTTTATTTTATTTGTGCTGTTATTTCACATCAATATCACATAAGTGCTGCCTGCAGACAAATCTAGGAATTTCACTATTTTTATAGATCTAAGTTCGTTTAGATGAGACGCTCTTTTTGAGGTTTCATGAAGCTTAACCAATCGGATTAATCATGCATTTAGCTTTCTTATACATACATATTTTCAGGATTGTCTCGAAGCATCAAAATAAGAAAACACCATGCCATTTATCCTATATGTAGATCACTTACATGATAGGCTACGGCTTCAATCTCTCCTAAATTTGCCATAGTCCTGGATGGAGCATGCGACCTTGGAGACAGAGACGCTATCCTACTCGCCACTTTCACTATGACCAGTTGACTAGGGGGTAGTCAATACACTTACTGCAGGACAAGCCTCCCTCTTTTCGCATATAATGGAAGCTGACATGTGTTTGCACTTAATCTCGATTCTGTTGTGATGTCATAAAATGGGTATCAAATGTATCAGAATATACGTATTTAAGGAAATAGGACACCATTTCTCGATTAAAGATTATTTCCTTTTTTCTTCTTTCTCCTCAGCTTTGAATTGATTCGAGATAGCAAATGGAAATACAAAGACAATTTGATTTTCAAGCTTAACATCTACAAATGGAGCTTAAGAGTGATTTAAAGGGCTGTCTGTTCTATAGGATAGAACACATTCTGGATGAAAACAATATGTAATTCACTGGCCAAATCAAATTCTAAATTTTTTGAAGACCTTAGTTCAATAAATGTCTGACAGGTTTTCATCTCAAAATGTAGCTTGTAAGTCCCCAATTATAAATAACTCTGGCAGACTACACTCTAGTTCAGGCCAAGAGCACAGAAAAAAGGTGAGATATTGTTATCAGGATAGAAAAGGACTGACATAACTCTTCCAGAGTAGTTGAGGCCTCGTCGCTTCCCAGCGGATTCTGCATGGCACAGGTGTACACCCCAAAATCTTGACTGGAAATATTGAGAATATTAATCATGGAGCGGAGTGGAATGAAATATTCAGATAAATCAACTGCACTTTGCTGGGCCAGACGCCAGGCAGCGTGAAAGTGAGCGTGTCGTTGTTCTGACACTTTGTCTGGCTTCGTTTTAGATGAATAAATCTGTATCGTTGTTGATGATAATGAGGATGATGCCGAGTGCTTCAATGGCGGTGATGAATTCGAGGGCACAACTTGCAGGATTGAGTCGGCTCCCACTAAAGTGGCAGCAGGATTAGCTAATTTGTAGGGTCTTCGTCTCGAGAAGTATGAGGGTGTTTTGGCGGTAATCGAAAGGCCTGCCCCATTATATCGTACGGGAAAGTCCTGTACCACCGAATTGGGGTTAGGCACGAAAGGATCTTCATCAGGACCAAGACCATTCAGATGGTTATACGTTTCTGCCAGTTTAGTAAAAAAAGCCAGAAAAAGTAAAAGGAGAAGGCAATTAAAGTGATGGTAGAGATGGAATTTATGCATTTATCAGATTCTCAACTTTATATCAATCGATTTATCTTCCATATAAGTAATTTCAAGAATTTTAGTAATTCTTGTATAATTCTTGCAATTACAACTGAATTTCTTTCACAATGCTATGAATAGGCCTCGCGAAGCCATTGAATCTCATTTAGCCTAGCTTCCCAAAAGGCTTTCCACCTAAGATGGACCCATTGCTAATTCTACCCATTTACGGTATTTGATACTGGATTTTGTGTATCACGGTTACTACAAGATGGTTCGCTCATGTGGTCGAAGTTATGTTGGCGAGACATGTCGATATATTCCTCAAAGATTGGGAGAACATAAAAATTATTCTAAAGGAAG